GTAGAATATTGTAGGGGGATTACAATCTACCAGTATTTTGAAATTATATTTATAGATACATGAAAAAGTTTAAAATTTTAATTATTAATGTTTGTAAAATTTATCATTGATGTCTAATTTTTTAAAAAATTTGCACTGAATTGTAATTTCCCCAATATTGTACTTTATTATCATTCTGTTAATTATTTAAACAATTCATTTTAAATTGAACTAAATTTATTCAAATTAAAAAATTTAAGGACAAAATTAATAAAATTAAAACTTAAAAAGATTGAAGTGATATCCTACATAAAAAGTACAAAATTTTGTTTATCACAAAAAAAAATAACTTTTTGCAAATCACAAAAAGTACAACTTTATTAACAAAAAGCATAATTTTGTTATTCATAATCTTAGGAGTGCATAATATAATTTCGCCATTTATAACTTTCAGTATAAAAATTTTAACTTTCATCACAAAAATTTGTAACTTTCACCGCGGAAGTCATTACTATTCTTACAATGTGCACTTTTTTTTGAATGCATACTATAACATTTCCCCATTTTATTTATTTTTTATCTCCCATTCCTTATAAATTATTTCTAAAATAGAAATAATCATGTGCATTCACACCGTTAGACGGTAGAATATGGCATCAAAAGTCTGGGAATAGTTAATATTTTTAATCATTCACCACATAATAAATAGAATGGATCAGGATGCTTTCTCATTTTTTTTTTTCCTGCAAAATAATATTAATGTAATAATTCAACGATTCAAATTTAAGTACAATCAAACCACGTCTTTTTAGAGTGTGTAGTTTAAAATAAAAATAATAATATTTAAATATTATTTTGCATTGATTTCAAACTTAAACAGTTAAATTATGTCTGTTGTTTACGTGAGCTTTGCATAGAAGAATGGCAGATAGAATGGATATGGATGCATGAACTATGTGCTTGTTATTATTATAATCTTCAACATGAGGTCCTGCCTAACTTTCCATGAGGCCTATGACGAAAATTTAATGGGAGACTTTTTATATTTAAATGTAAATTTAAATAATATTTATCAGTTTTTGTGTAGAGTAATTTATTATGTAAAATTCAATTTTCTCTTTGATTCTTGTAACTAAAATTTTGGTAAGTTATTTAAAGCCTTTACAACAGTTATGAAATGAAAAGTGTCACAAGTTATTCAGTAAATAAAATTTATAGATTTAAAGTGAAGATTATCATTAAAAATAAAAGGAAAAAAAAAATCAATAGTAATCTACGAAATATGGGCACTTTGACAAAAAATATTTATTTCATCCATATAACTAATTACATCACTATTAATACTATTATTATTTGAATTACGTCATTATAGGAATGCCAAGCCCAAGACAAACAATAGTAGCTTGACGAATAGTAGTAGCTTATGAAGGCATTTTGACAAACATATTGTACTCGCACCGAGTATTATGAAGAATCGATACTTTGCATGGTTGCTTTTGCATACATATTGGATATTTTTTTTTTTTTGATCAGCAAAGAAAAATTTCATTTAACAGCATGAAATTAAGAGTACAGGAAGATGACATGCATCGAGTGTACCTAGTATATACCCAAGCAAGCCGTACCTCATTCGAAATAGTGTTTTCTTCTAATATAGGGGTAAAATTAATTTTATTGGACTATTATTATTATTATTATTATTATTATTATTATTTTAAAATTAAGTAATAGTTTGTAAGTTATTTAGTATAATGACATTTAATTTTAATTTATACTGTTACTTTTGACATTAATATGAATTGTAGGTTGGATCGTACCAAAGTAAATCATTTAACTAATTTTTGCATCACTATAAATTAAAAATCAATACTTTTTTATAGCCATACCTAGTCGTAGGTGTACTTATTTTAAAAAAAAATTATCATATTAATATACTCATAACGTAATTTATCATACCTTATATGTTTTCATCAAAAAAGATTTCTTTTGCCGGTAAAAAAAAAAAAAAAAAAAACCATACATACTCATCGCATCAATTTCAGTACCTGAACCTATACACGTGCTACCAGTTTCTCCATTCTTAATTTATTTTAGTTTATTTTTTACCTCTTTAAGAAGCATTCTTTATTTATAGAAAAAAAAAAGGAATTCAAAAAGTTTATTATGAGAATTATTGGAAAAGTAATTGTATTTTATGGAATCAAATTTAATTTATTGTGGACCACAGTTAAAATGAATATGGTTCACATTTTAAACCATGGATATTTTTTAAGTATGTAACTTTAGTATAAGGCCTCATTTCGAAACATACTTTTTTAATAATTTTTTGATTTTTTGACTAAAATATAATGTAAAAAAAATTAGTATGATTGGGATGACTTTTTGATTTTTTACGAAAAGATATGCAAAAAGTAGAGAGAAAAGAGAATCTTTGACTTTTTGGTATAAATTGTTGATTTTTTGACTTTTTTAGTAATTTTTTGACTTTTTTGCTAAAAAAGCTACTTGCCAAACGAGGTTAAGATGGTTTTTGTACCGAAAAAGAAGAAGAAGAAGAGAGATTTTGACTTTTTTTAGTCATTTTATTTTGTTTATTTTTATTTTTATTATTTCATATTTTGCTCAAGTATCTATTTAATACATTTAACCTAGATGCACAAGTAAGGTTGCAAACGAACCGAGCCGAGCTGAGCTGAAGTGAGCTTTAATATGTTTGGGTTTGTTTATTAAGATTATAATGAACACAAGTTCGAGCTCAATAAAAATTTAATAAACCGAGCTAGAGCCGAGTTGGCTTAGGCTTGACTTGAGCTCGAGCCTGTTCACGAGCCTTAGTGCGCCAAAAAATTTATAAATTCATACTTGCATATGAGACTAAAGTTACAATTAAAACTTTAATTATACAATTATATATATATAATATATAAACATTCTAAAAAAAATTAATATTTTATAAAAATAATAATATCTACCACCGCTATTATATAAATGTATTATCTATAGTTACTATTATTTATATTAATATTTTTTAAATATATAAATAACATATTTATCTTATTTTTTATATTTATGTTTACATTATTTAATATATAAATAATAAATATTAAACGAGCCACCTAACGAGCCGAGCTTATGAGCGATATTAAAAGTTTAAAGAGCTTGACCTCGAGCTCGAGTTCTAATGCAAAAAAAATTTAAAGAACTGAATTCGAACGAACTCTTACCGAGTTGAGTTCGAGTTGTTCATGAATGGTTCTGTTCATTTGCAGCCTATGCACAAAAGAACTTTAAAAATTGACTATTTTTTGTAAAAAAAAATGAAAGAAGGAAAAAAAAAAAATTAAAGACTATCAAATCTGGTCTTCCATACAACAAAGCACTCACTATATTTCCTTTTACATTACATTTTAATTTGGAAAAATTATATTGGTAGTCCCTATATTTTGGCAACATGGTTAAAAGTTAGTTTTTTAACTTTGACTTTTTTGAGTCACATTATTTTTTTTATTTTTTTGCACGTTTTTTTTAAAAAAAAAAAAACCAAAAACACCAGATTGCCAGTTTGTGTTAGTATATTTCTTATAATTTTAATTAACTCGATTTTGACGCTTAATTTTTAGATTTTATGCCAATTTGGTGTAGTTGATAATAACGATTAAGTTTTTTATTTTTATTTTTTAAATGTCGTTGAATTGGTTGAGTGAGTTAGCTGAGGTTAACTCATGTGTTGAATAATTTTATAATTTTGTCTATAAAAGTATAACACATACTGCTTATGTGCATATTTTCCATAAAAACACTAGCAATTTTAACAATTTGACCAAATTGAGATAAAATTATAAATTTAATGTCAAAAATCGATGTGGGTGTGATTGTGATCAAGTTGGTCATAATTTTTGTTTGAATTTTGTGTGAGCTAAAAAAATGTGTGTATAGGATGCAGCGGGTGCTTCTTGTTCCAGAGCTAGATTTCACAATCTATAAAATTATTTTTTTAATATATATTTTGTGATTCTTTTATTTTTCTTTTACACAAAATAAATAGGAAAAAGATTTTATTAAAATTCAAAAAGGATATATGCAAAAGAAATTGGCTAAAAAAGCACAAAGGGAACTCATATCAAACAAAGAATGAACACCCATAGTTTAAAATTGGGGAAATTGTAAATCAGTTTAAGATTAAAAAAAAAAATTATAGTCATGGAAAAATTTATAACTTCAATTACTATAGTTGGTAAGTTTTACTACTCATTTGAAATTTATTTTGGAAACAATGCATTGAATTGTAATTTTTCCTTTAAATGTGTGGGTCCAACACAAAACACTCATTTTTTGAGTTAATATCAGAATAATTTTTTTGGATATCATTTTTTTTTTTTTTTTGGCAATACATTAAAAATTTTAATGTGCTTGTGTCTTAAAGAGAAGAGAAGAACCACCCCCCCCCAAAAAAAAAAAATAAATAAATAAATAAAAATTTGACAATCTGCTGTGCAACTCTCTCTCCCTATTGTTATTCTAATTCTTATACTTTTTCAATCTAATCAAAGAATTCTTTGAATAATTTAGAATTTATAACCATTGAATCTATATTAGTATTATTTACTTGCAAGTTCCACATTTTTTTAATTTTTTTTTTTGTTTTTGTTTTGTTTTTTTTTTTTTTTTGATCCGCAAAAAGAAGATTTTATTGATGAAACACATACAAAGTATGATAAATTACATCAATAAAGAGGAGTTTGGAGCTAAGCTAAGTTTCAACCTCCTAGTTGGTGAGAGACCAACAAATAAATCAAACAGAGCAAAGGAATAGCAAGCTACAAGCTAAGGACTGTAACAGCAGCAGAGCAAAATAGCTTAAGAACTCTGTAACAGCAGTAGAGCAACACATCAGAGCAACACATCGGCAGTACAACAGCTTAAGAGCCCAACTTAAGAAACTAAAAATCAGAGCAGCACATCAACAAGACAAACAGCAAGACAACCAGAAACCGTTACAAACATCAGCAAAAACCAGCAGCCCTGAAACCAGCAGAGCAACACATCTACACTGCCTTGGACTCTATCCCAATTGATCAAAGCAACTCAAAGCAACAGGCAGCCCTTCAACCTTGACTAATTGGCCAAACAATTCAAAGCAAAGTAACCCTTCAGACATTCTACAAAAGTCAGCAACTACCAGTAAGCCAGCCACAGCAGCCAGACAAGTAGACACCCTGCAGAATTAGACATACAACCCTACTGCCATGAACTTCAATCAAATTAACCAAACATTCAAAAAAAAAAAATAAAAAAAAAATAAACACAACAGTAAACCTCCAGCCAGTAGCCCTGCTTCCAAGCACCAATCATTATTCAACCTCTAGCCTCTAACCTCCATTCCTGATGCAGTACTTCACCTGTAACAAATTAAAGACCAAATTGTTTATGAAAAAGTCCACCTGAATGTGCGATGCTTTGAGCCACATAGCAACTCTAACCTTCACTAATTCACGCAGAGCTTCCAAATTTGGTTGAGTACGGTTAAAATACAATCATTTCTATGCTTCCATGTGGACTAGAGAGTGGCCAAAGATATAACCATCCATATTTTCTTCACCAGCTTCTGCATTCTACATCCAAACCACCATTGCAACAAACCATTCATTGAACCTGGTATCACCCACTGCAATCCCCACTAGTGTATAATGTCGGACCAAAGCAGCCACACAAAAGGGCAGAAAATCAAAATATGTTTCACTATGTTCACCTCATTACGACAAAACACACAGCCAAGATTTTCACTTTCTGCAAAGATACCAATTCGATGAAGGAAATAAGAGGTTTTAACCTTGCCAAGCCAAACCAACCACACAAAGAATTGCACTTTTGGGGGCGCAAAGTTGTTCCAAATTGAAGCAGCCACTGGTACTACAGGTCCTAGAAATGATTCAGTCCATTTATATACTGAAAAGACAGTAAAAAGCTTAGATGGTTCTTCACACCATTTAAGCTCATCTGGTCTGGAACTACACAGAGTTGGGGCAGAGCTCAGGAGATTGAATAGTCTATGGGCTTCTTCCTCTTTCCAGACCAGCAAAGATCTTCTAAATCGCAGGTTCCATCTACTAGCCTCTACCCTTCTTTCAAAAAACACACTAACCACACCATTTTTATCATTAGATAATAAGAAAAGCCTTGGGAATTCATCCATTAAGCATACATTACCCACCCACTTGTCTCTCAAAAAAAGAACTCTTCTCTCGTCCCTCAGAACCAACTAAGAATTAGTAATATAAAATTGGTATAGCTCAGGATTGGATAAAATGACATGTACTATATCAGTCCAGAGCTTTGATCCTCTGCCAGTTAGTTTTGGGAACCATCTACCATCCACAGGCACATATTTGGCACAAATCACTTCATTCCAAAGCGATTGATTCTCAACACCAAATCTCCACTACCATTTTAATAGTAGACATTGATTCAAAGTTTTAATCCTCCTTGCACCTAACCCACCTAGTTTCTTATTTTTAGTAATCACCTCCCATCAGACCATATGAACTTTTCTTCCATGGTCAGAGCCACCCCAAAGAAAAGTTGATTGCAATCGCTCAATCTCTTTAGCTACTCCATCCAAAATTCTGAACAAGGATAAATAATAGACAGGTAAAGCGGGCAAAACAAATTTGATTAAAGTTAGGCATCTGACAAAGGATAACAGTCTTATCTTCCATGTGGACAATTTCTGTTTGAACATGTCAAGAACGGGTTTCCAAGTACTCTTCCTGCTAGGTTTGCCCCCAAAGGAAGCCCCAAGTATTTAAGAGGTAGCTTTTGATGAAGACAGTTTAAAGAAGAAGCAAATTCCTACACCAGTTCCTCTTCCACCCCAACACCACATATGACACTCTTATGGTAACAATTTTTTAATTCCGTACTGTGATTGCGTGGTGAATCCAAAAAATTAAACTTGAAGCATCTTTTGTATTTTCCATAAATTTTCCACCAATGCCTGTCATCGTGAAGGTAGTCACCAAAAAATCGTCACAGAAAGTAAAAACTTCAAAAATAAAATTTAAAAAATGTTGCCTATAAGTGGATTTTGAAAAACAAAACAATTTAGTGCAAAAAATGTTTACTTTTTGAGACAAAAATTGTTCCCAAAAGGATAGTAAATCACCACTAAATATTCAATTTCGTCGCTAAAAATACAACAATGATGGTTTTGGTGACTGAAATATTTCATCTTTAAAAAATGATTTTGTCCCTAAATATATTGTCTCTAAAACTTTAATTTGTTTTAGTGATTATTCATTTATAAAAAGAACCATTTATGAGCATTCACATTCACATAAATAGATGATAATCCATATAGTTTCTTTTCTTATTATTTATTTTATCAACAAAAAATAGCTTTATTTTTTTTTTATCGGCCACAAAAAAGAGCTTTATGAACACACGTATAGTTACAACAAATACAATTCATCAATAAATAAAGTTAATGCAAAAAGTATCATAGCAAAACATCCCAATCCAATCATAACATCTTATACTATATGGTAATTTACTCTGAAGTTAAGAAATTTTTCTTTGCCTATCAAAATATATATATATATATATATACATAGAGTTTTGTTTTTCTTGATAACGAAAATAAAAAATATAAAAAATATAAAATATAAAATAGAAACTAAAAGGCTTGAAAAATCTTATGGCATATACTATTTTTAGAGTAATAGTATATGTGCATGGATTTCTTACTAGATTGTCTTTCTACTAGAAACTAAGGCAGCAGAGGGTCTGTACTAATAAACGCATTTGGGACTCATGTCTTTGTATTTACTATTAAAAAAATAATAATAAAGATTCTATGCTATCATTTCTTGCAATGGTCTTGTTGTCCTTTTTATGAGAATAAGAGAAGTCAACAAAGTATATAATTTAACAATTCAAATTTCAATTAAATTTAACCGAAAGGTGTAGTTTTGTTTCAACTTTAAATATAAACTGTTATATTACCATAGTAAACCATTGTAGATCCTGCAATTATTTACCATAACATTTTTGGTATTTTTATTCTCTGAACAGAGATAGAATAGTTATGAATGCATGAAATGTGAGCTTATATTCCCTATAAATTTGAACATGACATATTCATGTGCGTAATTCAGAGACATCAACTTTGATCATGTTTGTACTCTTCTACCAATTCTCTTTAATAATTTTTTTGTTTTGCTAATAAAATAATAATAAAAATAAAATAAAAATTCAGAGACATCAAACTCATTTTGGTTGAGGCAAACAAGTTATTGTCTCATTTTTGACCAATTTTTTTTTTTTTTTAATAATAAAATTGTTGAATTGGTAGATTTATTTTAGTAACCTTATTGGATGCAAAAGATGGGTCATTTTGGCAAGAATCTAAATACCAAACAGTCATGCATTGTGACTAAACATACCAAACAGTCAATGCAACCAAAGATAAATGTTGACATATACCCATCACATACACATAGTGCCTTTCAAGTTCACTATAAAAATCGTGCAATGCATGCTATCTAGTATAACTTTCATATAAACGAATTGATATACATATTGGTTTAGAGAGAAAAATAGAAACAAGATGAACAACAATAGCAACATTGCTAAACGGTGGAGGGTTCTTAGTGGTGAGGATAGCTGGAGGGGCTTATTGGACCCTCTAGACATTGATCTCCGGCAATATATCATTCACTATGGAGAAATGGCTCAAGCAACATATGACAACTTCATCTCTGATAAGTTGTCAAAATATGCAGGAAGCAGTCGATATGCAAAGAAGGACCTCTTTTCTAAGTTGGGTCTAGATCCATTGATGTACCAAGTGACTAAATATTTTTATGCGACATCATCAACTGAAGTCCCTGATGCATTCATCTTCAAGTCTTTATCGAGAGAGGCATGGAGCAAAGAATCAAATTGGATGGGATATGTCGCGGTTGCTACAGATGAAGGGAAGGTTAAGCTAGGGAGGAGAGACATTGTGATTGCATGGAGAGGAACAATCCAAGCCATGGAATGGGTTAATGACTTGGAAATTAATTTAGTCTCGCCTTCAAAGATACTTGGAGAGGAAGATGATGATGCTAAGGTTCATCGGGGATTTTACTCAATCTACACTTCAAATGATCCAAGATCACGATTCAGTAAGACTAGTGCTAGTGACCAGGTAACTTTGATAAACTATTTACATCTAAGCCTACACTTTTTAGAAAGGAAAAAGTTATCGAACCTGAAAAAGTTAGTCAGAAAATGAATTATACATAGATTCAAACTTAGTTGTGATGTGGACACACACTCAGAATAAATATGTTCACACACTTTATTTTTTTCAATTTACTTTCAAGAACTTAATTTTTAACATTGTTGTTTAAGAAAAGATAGTAAATAACAATTCTTTAATTTGGAGAACAATTCCAAAAATAATATTGTTGTTTGAACATAATATATTTTAGGTTATTAAAGAGGTCAGAAGACTTGTTGAAGAATATCAAAATGAAGAAATCAGTATAACTGTAGTCGGCCATAGTTTGGGTGCAGCAATTGCAACCCTAAATGCAGTTGACATAGTTGCTAATGGATTCAACATGCCTCAAAATCAACCAGACAAGGCCTGCCCTGTGACTGCCTTCGTATTTGCAAGCCCTAAAGTTGGAGATTTAGACTTCAAAAAGGTCTTCTTTGGGCTAAAAGATCTTCGAGTTCTACGCATTCGTAATGCTCGAGATATTGTTCCAAAGGTTCCATTCATAGGCTACAAAAACGTTGGTGAAAAATTGGCAATTAATACTTCCAAGTCAGAGTACTTGAAAAGTCTTGGAAATTTACAAAGTTGGCATAATTTGGAGGCTTACCTACACGGTGTTGCAGGTACACAAGGATCAAAAGGAGGGTTCAAGTTAGAAGTTGATCGGGATATTGCGCTTGTTAACAAAACATTGGATGCTTTAAAGGATAAGTATTTGGTACCAACTTCATGGTGGGTTGAGAAGAACAAGGACATGGTTCGACAAGTAGATGGCTCTTGGAAGCTGATGGACCATGAGCCAGATCATCAAGATGATGATTTCTCAATCTTTACAAGACCTGAGAAATTATCGAAGCTGAATTAATCTCTAGTATTTAATTAGAGTTGTTTATGCAGTATTTAAATGTTTCTTTTAGTTAAGTTTTATTAACCTAGGCTATGAGTTTATGTGAGAATCTTGTGTAATAATTTAGATTTTTGTTTTGATATTGTTGTCACCTTTTAGTGGCTTTGTTTTCTTTCCTTCCATCTTTGCTTGTTGCCCATTAGGGCTTTGGCTCAAGTTATACCCCTTTTTTATTCTAATAAAATCCCATATTTACCCAAAAAATAAAAGAATAAAAATTGGTGGTGGGAATATGTTATTAATCCAATAGAAAGGAAATGTTTATCACTAACTCATTTAAAAGATTAAGCTGTTAAAGAGATGAATAACTTTATTATTTATATTCTCAACATACTTGACCATATTTATAGAATCTTGAATATGCTTCTAGTTGGTAGTATTTTCATCTCTATTTTATGTTTTTATTTGTTAGAAAGCACACAAAAAATGGTTATATAACTATTTTTGGACAAAATTCTTATAACAACCCACTCTTTAGGAAATATCAAAAAACTTGTTTTCGAATTTTGAAATTTAGTTTTGGAGAAGGAAAAAAAAAATCATGAAGAGTTGGGTAAGGTGTTTCCAAAATTTTTATTATTTTTATTCTAAAACACATGGAAAACAAAAACAAAAACAAAAACAAAGAGCAAAAAAAAGCAAAAAATAAATGAAAAACAATGACTGAATTCTTTACACGTACTTTACTAATAATTGCTTGAATGTTTACATTTAAGCCCTATAAAGTGCATTTGTTAAGTCTTTAATTCTAATTACTTGATGTATTCTAAGGCATTTTTGCTCTTTGTAGGTATTCGAGCTCATGAATATGCTAAAAGACTATCAATTTGGAGCTTTAGAAAGTTTGCTGGAACATTTAATTGAAGTCCAAATCAAGTTAAGGAAATGAAGTTTAGAAGTTTCAAAATAGCAAACAAATTTTCCTTTTTGTGCTCGAGCATAGAGTCTAAGTGCTTGAGCACTTAAGTTGTTAAAGAGAAAAAGGATTATGTTTGTGTGCTCAAACACAAAAGCGACGTGCTCGAGCACAATCTATTAGGTTTTTGTAATTGACAATAAACTTCATTCAATTGTATTTTTATTCACCCTATTTTATCTATGAGTTATGAGAGTATAGATGCTAATCCAACCTAAGTTGTGCCTGAGTAGAGAAGTTTGTACTGATATTCTGTATCTTTTTGAGCTTTTCTTGTTTCGCACTTCGTTGACTAAGTATGGGGATCGAGCTGGTTAACAGCTCTAGCGGTCTTTGCGCCTTTGAGCGGTGAAGTGATTCATCTAGTATATCTACTTGTGCTCTGAACTTCTAGGAAGCTTATTTAATGTTTAAGCAGTAGAAATTATGCTTGATCGGTTGGCTTATATGTGAGCACCGCCTTTACTCACACCGCTCGAGCGGTAAAGTGTATGCTCGAGCAGTCTTCGCAGCTCTATCTTGTATAAAGTGCGCTGTTTGCTATTTTTAGGGTCTAAGATTCTTAGAGAGGAGTAAATAACAAAGTGTTTTATATTGGAGGGTGTTTATATATGGGTTTTGTTGACGTATAGATAGTGATTTATTGATCAACGAACAATATATTGACAAACATCAAGGGTTGTTTTTGTTCTTTCATTCACAAAAAGAGGGAGGTGTTCATCGGTGGATTCTAGAGAACTTGCGCTTAAAGCTTTAGTGGATTATGGAGTAGCTCATCATCATGGATTTGACATCGGCATTGTGGATTCAACATTGTGCAAAGCAATTTTGAGGTAAAGACAATGGTAGAAGAGGCACATCGGGTTCGGTACAATTTAGGCGTGGATTCAATAGATAATTAAGGGTTCTCGTATGTAATTTCTTTTTGTCTTTTTAGTAGATTGTTTTGTGGTTTTAGCTCATGGTTCTTTTTATCACAATGGAGAAGTCCAGTTGTGATCGTTATGCCAATCTGTTGTTGATTGTTTGATTGTGATTACTATTTATTATTTAAAATTGAATCATAATCACAAATTAGTATCTTAGGATTTTTAGATTTTTCACAATCTATTCCGAATTTTATTACTTTTAGGGTTGTTTTTAGCACATATAAAAGGAAAGCTAGTAGCTTCTTTGAAAGAGGGATTTGGGGCCTCAAGTATTGAGAAGGCACAAGAGAGAAGGGAAAAAAAAAGGGAGATCCAAAGAGCTTTTCATAGAGATTCAACCGAAACTTTGGATTTCTCCGCTGTCCATAAGCGACTAGACTCTCTATCTTAGGGTTTGATGAAACTCTAATAAAGTAATTAGGGTTTTTGTACTTTCTTCATGGATTTGATTTAATATGATGATGGTTGTATAACTGATGTAGGACAAGTAGAGATAGAACTGGATTTTGAAAACAGAGATTATTTGATGGCTTAAATAGTGAGTAATTTAGGATTTCAAGAGTTAAATTGAAGGCTCATAGGTAGGGGAGGGGATTATGGTTGATTTGAGGGTGCTTGGATAGAGTTTTGAGGTTGAAAAGTGCACTTTTAGAGGGTTGTGAATAGTAATCCGAAAATAGTAAATTAAAACAGAAAAGGCGAAGAATGAAGAGAAGAATATAGGTTTAGGTATCACACCTAGATTCCATAAGCATCACACCTAGGGTTTGATTGCATCACACAATCCATAAAGAAGCTTTAAAAGCTCCATAATTCTCTAAAATATCAAGTCTATTAAATTATAAACATTACATGATTTTATATAGAATTAGGAGATTTTCTAAACCAACTAACCAAACCAAACCAATAGAATTATATTAGTATTTCCTAAATCAACTATAATTGAAAAAAGAAACTATTATAATATTTTGACTTCTAAAACTAATCTAAGACTAAATAAGAAACAAAAATAAAGACTAATTAAATAACTTAACCAACAAAACGACCCATGGGCGACTCATACAACACATATTCGGAAATTATGCAAATTAACAAAATACCCCACTACTACAAAAATAGTTAAAGATCACACTTTGACAAAAAAAAAAAGATCTCACTTTTATTGGAAGTGTGATAAAAAAAATTATATTGATATTTTAATCACACTTAATTTGATTGAGTGTGATAATATTTATTTTTTATGTCACTTTTCAATTAAGTGTGATTATATATATATTTTTCAATCACACCTTCTAATTAAAAGTGTGATTATATATACACTACTACTTTTTAATCACACTTTTATCACACATTCTAATTAAAGTGTGATTATTTATATATTTTTTAATCACACATTCTAATTAAAGTGCAATTATTTATATATTTTTTTAATCACACATTCTAATTAAAGTGCAATTATTTATATATTTTTTTAATCACACATTCTAATTAAAGTGCAATTATTTATATATTTTTTTAATCACACATTCTAATTAAAGTGCAATTATTTATATATTTTTTTAATCACACATTCTAATTAAAGTGCAATTATTTATATATTTTTTTAATCACACATTCTAATTAAAGTGCAATTATTTATATATTTTTTTAATCACACATTCTAATTAAAGTGCAATTATTTATATATTTTTTTATCACACCTTCAAATTAAAGTGTGATTATATATACACAATTATTAAAGACACAGTGTTCAAACACTGGCCTCAATCACAGAATTGGTTCTAAGTTTGATACTCAAGAAAGTTGTAAGTTCTGTATTTTATTTATTATTCTGTTAAGGGAAAAACTACTTGATCTGTTTCTGTGTATAATTCTGTTTGTTAGCATATGCAGTTACCAGATTAAGCAGGTATACTAGCAATCCAGGAACAGACCACTGGACAGCAATAGTTAGGGTACTTAGATATCTAAAGTATACTCGAAACTATGGGCTGAACTATATGAGATATCCAGCAGTATTAGAAGGTTATAGTGACGCTAATTGGATCTCAGACACTAAAGACTCTAAGTCTACTAGTGGTTATGTCTTTACCCTGGGAAATGCAGCAGTCTCATGGAAGTCATCCAAACAGACATGCATTGCAAGGTCCACAATGGAATCCGAATTTATTGCTTTAGATAAAGCAGGTGAAGAAGGAGAGTGGCTTCGTCAATTTCTAGAGGATATCCCAATGTGGCCAAAACCTGTGCCAGCCATTTGCATTCATTGCGATAGTCAAGCAGCAATGGCAAGCGCACAAAATAATATGTATAACTGTAAGTCTCGTCATATTCGACGTAGACATAATACTGTTAGACAACTGCTCTCAAATGGAGTTATCTCCATTGAGTACATAAGGTCAAAAGATAATATCGCGGATCCGTTAACCAAAGGTTTGACCAGAGAGCAAGTTTTAAGATCATCAAGGGGAATGGGATTAAAGCCTTTTAACTAAAGAGTCGCCTTAATGGCAACCCAACCTAGTTGACTGGAGATCCCAAGATCTAGGTTCAAAGGGACAACCGAATTATGTGTGACTCATTAGGATCACTAAGGGAAAATTTTTTCCTACCCTTTCCTATGATGACATAGTGATGTCTGCAGCGCTAATCAGGTTAAGCTTTTGCTTTTAATGATATTCATATCTTGGAAATCCAAGTGGGGTATAGCAGAATACTCTTAATGAAAATCACCTATATGAGTGTGAACTGGGCCGGTTCAATGAGAATTGGTAAAAGGCTGAATTCTCTAGAGCACTCATGAAAACCAGGTATTGTCCAGGGCCAAAATGGGCACAACCGATAGAACCAGATTGTGTAAGGAAATAAAACTGTGTGACAGACTGTTGTCTCGGTTTACACCAATGGCAGAATAGTTCAAGACATCATGTTCACTAATCAGCCAGTAAACCCGATCGTCTTTCACAAGGGAAGGTTCAAAGCCAAAAGCTACCTATCCTTTGCAGGATATTTTCAGTTTTTGTACTCTCAGTGTCTGCATGTTGTTGCATATTCGTTTTCAATTTCATTCATGTGGGGGATTGTTAGAGAAATGGTTTTCACCATTAATTTCCGGTAAATTTGAGCTTTTATTAATGTAGGTCCCACACCTCGTTTTGGGTGGGTCCGAGTGGCAACACGTTCCTTGCCATGTGGTGAACAAGAATATATACTCGGGTGGTCGAAACCATTTACGAGTGAATGAGAAATTAATACCGAAGTGAGCCTCATAAACATGAAAATGTTTTGTGTGGTTCCCATAAGTTGGTATCTAAAAACCTTGTCCCACATAGGAAACTTAGAAGAGTTTCAAAGTATTTATAAGCTCTAAGTTGGAGACCTTGGGTTGGGCCCCAAGGGGTACCCAAGTTTTGTAGGAGAAGGAGTTATGGACAAACCCAAAACCATCACCACACGCGCGCGCCGCCGCCGCCGTCCGTCCGGCCGGGTCGGTGTGGGTTTGGGTCTTACCAGTCCTTGATTTTTTGCACCAAAAATTATTTGAATTTTTTCGAATAATTCCAGCGGGAAAGAATTCAAAAAATCTGATATGTTTCGGTTGCAATGTTGCACCTTCTCCAACAGTCGCGTCTCTGACTTGGCAACTGTTTGATAACAGTTTTCTATTTCGGAATAGGCACCTCTCAGCCTATATATATCAACCCTCCATTCCTAGTCAGAAAATAACTCTAACCCGTAACTATATTTTCCATTCTCTTCTTTTGTTCATCTTCATTTTTCTCCATTTTGAGAGTTTATAAAAGAATACATTCTGGTTCGCTGTACAAACGAGTTTGTAGTGCTACATCTGTTTGGGGTGATTGTTGAATCCTGGAGGCAGGACGTCCATTATTCTCGAGCACCTTGGAGAGGGCGAATTTCTGTCTTAAAGACACAGTGTCCATACACTGGCCTCAATCACAAATTTGTTCTTAATTTGAGTATTCAGACACTTGTAAGTTCTGTCATTGATTTTTATCTGTTATAATAAAATTCTGCAGATTCTGTTCATATTATATAATCTGTTCTGTTTAAATTATTCGGTTGAATCGAAGTATTATTTTTTACAACAGGAGGTACTGTAAATTACTGGGCGTGTATCAATTTCTCACGAAGTGTCCAAGAAAGTGCAGTTCGAGGTTTTTGTCATCAGTTGGCTCAGATGTGCCAAGGCTCTGGCATGGTAAGCTTGTTAATC